CATTTGACTCTGTACCTAGGTCTCTCTTGCTAAGTAAGCTTGCTGCAACACAGACTGAGAGCTGGACAAATAAGTGGCTGCATTCCTATTTTTCTGATAGGAAGCAGTACACCATCTACAATGGAAAGTCCTCCACTACCTCACTTGCTTTAGCTGGTGTTCCCCAAGGTGCAGTTATTTCTCCTTTTCCGTCTTCTTTTTTTCTTACATGACTTGCCTCATTCTGATGTAGCCACTTTTGTTAAGTATGCTGATGACCTCTTTGTTTCTACGCCTGTCAACTCTCAGTCAGACTGTTCCAAATTAAATAACTTTCTGTCGGAAATTAGTCAATGGTCTTCTTCAAACGGTCTTAAGCTGAATCCGTCTAAATGTCAGGTAGTCAATTTCACTTTCAGACGTAAACGTGACCTACGAAAACTAGCTAGCTCACATGACCCCAGTATCATTGACGGCATAGAGGTTGAAATTACATCTAATGTCATGTACCTTGGGCTGAGTTTTTCCACAAATCTTTCCTGGTCCTCCCACATCTTGCTGGTCACTAGAAAGATGTTTCGCTTAACTTTCTACGTTAAGAAGTTAAGGCAGTCTGGCATAAAGCAGTCTTTGCTTTCTCAGTTTGTCAATTCTTGTATTCTACCCATCCCTCTTTACTGCTCCTCATTAATCTTTCCTGAACTACTTAAGAAAGACTTTGCTTTGCAGAGGAGTGAAATAAAAGCCGTTAATAGGGCAAGTGGGATATCGCTAAACCAACTGGTTAACACTATTGTGGATAGACATATAATGTCATGTAAGAAACTAGCGAATACTATATTGTCAGACCCCGAGGATCCTCTCTATACGCAGCTCTCTCCTTGCATTTCATCTAGTAGAACTAGAGGCAGCTATACGAGGCTATATGCTAGGACTCCCAAGTACAAATCTCCACAATACCATATCTGGCACAGCTGTTATGTGATGAGAAATCCGTTAGGTATGATCAACAACGATCAACTTACTACGGGACTCTAACAAATAGTCCCATTAATTTTTTGTTTTCCTTTCTTCGTTACTATTATATTGTTGTTCACATCTTCTATTACACACTAATTTCATATTTCATATCCTGTGGTGCATTGTTTAAAATGTAAACGCAACGCTGTTCTTCTTATTTTCGTTTTATTTATCTATTTTTTTGGTTGTTGCTTTTTGAATTTTAAAATCTTATAGAATTTATGAGGTAATTAGATGCAATATATTGTAATGCACGCTGAAAATTCCATACCTGTACCACAAATACTGTTTGAAATAAAGCTGTTAATTATTATTACTTACTGAATGACAAAGTTTCTGACACAGTTTGTTGTCAGAAAGCCAGAGGTGACTAGTAGTGGGTGACATCCAGGATGCAAATTTTGCCTTTATGGCCCTCGTCGATTGGGTCGGTCTGAATTCCCAGTGAGTGGCAGTGTTTCCACTGAGACTTGGATCCTGTACTCATCGTTGCAAAGGCCAAGGCATTATACACTCAACCAATTAGTCTGAGAGTGCCATCTCATGTGATTCTCAGTAGAAGCATCATCATGTATCACTGGGAATGAAGGTACATTCAGCTAGTGACTCCCAATTTGGGGCGAAATACGCATCTTGGTGGATTCCACTCTTAGTCGCTATCCACCAAATTTACTTCAAGTCAAGCCGAGGATATCGTCAAAACGACCGTACTAGGAGCCGACATGTCAACAGAGGCCGAAATTTTCGGTCCAGTTTATCAACACGAAAATCAAAATTGCACCAGCAAGAAATAAGGAGGTAAACGATGCTTGTTTCCGTAGCACATGAGTATTTTAAACGCGTTACAATGCATGTGTTTTTTTGAAGCCAGGTAATTTCTTGTGGTGAGGACACGGATTTCTCTCACATCAAGGCAATGATATAAAGAAGTAATATCTATTCAATCCCTCACAAACTAAAGTAGACTGTAATGAAACTAATAACTCTTATTATTCAGGTTGTATGCACTTGATGGGATAACAACAATATAAAATAGATTTTTCAATACAGCCCAATGTATTGTGATTGCTCCGTTCAAATTCCTTCGGAATAATTGACACATAATATGTTCAGAAGGGCTAAACGCTCTTCCTTAGAAGGCAGAATAATAGAGGAATGATAGTTTGCTTTAGATTGTTTTTCACGGACGAAAACTTACAAGTAATTAGGTATAAAGATATGTTATTATTATTATTGTTCTCTTGGGTTCCTAGTGGAACCTACTTCTCCAACAGCACAGCTTTATTTTATCCTCTTCTCTGCAGCCCTTTTTGAGCTGGCTCCATGATCCACCATAAGTAATAGTGTTTTGACGAAAGCTTTAAGTACGTGAGATATTAAAGAGTGGCGTCAAAGAGCAGAATTGAAATATTTTTTAGTGTTCTATCCTATACGAAGGGTGTAAAGCGGTCATTGATATTTTAGGCAAAAATCTATCAGCTCACAAAAAGCATGCTGATGTGGCATTCTAAGTGGGGACGATATGAAAGGAAGCGTGAGTTAGAAACACTATGACCCTTTGATGATGATGATGACTCATAAATTAACACTGAATTCAGCGAGCGAATCTGCTGCAATCAGCACAAACAACAAAATTTAGATTTTCAACACCAATATTAAGTTAGTCGTTTCTTCTATATGGCTGAGAGACTTACATTGTGCGTCACAAAAAGTATTTCCAAACGATTACTGAAGACTTTCATCAGCAGCTGACTTCATCAGCTGGTAGGTCAAAAAGAACCAGCAGCAAGCAACTCTGAGAAAGAACCAATCAAGAAATTGTTCCTTAAAAAAATATAGCAAGATAAAATGCAGATGGATCGAGGACACACACTTAGGACACCGTTGGGTGATGTACTGCACTAGACAATCTCTCCGTTGGAACAGAAATTGGCAACGAGCAACGCGTTGGGGGAGTGTGCGAGAGTAACATGGGGAAAGTGATGCCAGTAGGAGGCGTAAGCTTATGAGTATACATGTCGCAGACTAATTGGGACTATAAAGAACAACGTTAAATGGATGTGTGTTGTTGGATCCCTATGTTCTGCTTGGAGACCAAAGGAATATCAACTATATCAAGTTAACTCTCTCTGCAAAATAGATCAATAATTTGAGAAGTAAAGAAATAGTCTCATTCAACATTTGAAAGCCTTTTACATCAGTCCTTTTGACTTTTGCACAGAATACTTGTTGTGAAAATAGTTTGACGACAATTTAAATTATTGCATCATAAAACAACTGGAGTGATCCTATCATGGAAAAAATTATAGGATTTCATTTTCATCATTTTTATCAACAATTTGTCTTAGTCTAGGATTTTTAAAAATATTTGTGTTTAATAACTCTCTACAAGTGAATATAAGAATGTTCTGTGTACTCATTATAAGCATCGTACTACTGAATTTCTGGGACGCAGTCGACACGCTTTGGTGTTCGTTTTTTATGTGATCCATATCCACAAAATTTCGCCAATTATGTGACAACACTAGAATTGTTAATTTCATAACTGTTTTACCCTACTGTAAAACATAGGGGGGTTCTCAAGAGTGTTTTCGTCAGTAGGGGTTCCTAACCTTATTGGTTCTTCATATAGTTAGAGAATTTGCCATCACAAATACAATGAGAAGAGTAATTAGGCTTGAAAAGCAAGTGTTCTGTGAGATCTTGATATATGTAGATGGTGTATTCTTAACCTACATTGGTAATCCCTATCTGATTATGTTACCAAGATCAGCGTTAATGGTGTTACTTTATATTCTTAAATTCTTCATCATTTTGATTGGTTGGAGGAATTCGTCATGAGCAGGCATCATTTAGAGAACCATTGGGACACCTGAGAGTATTGGAGAGCTGTTTCGTCCTAGTTTGGGCGCGTACCTCTGAAGAGTCCCAAACTAAGACGAAACAGCTCTCCAGTACTCCCAGGTTTTCCAATGGTTCTATAACTGATGTCAGCTGGTGGTGAAGTCGTCCAACTAATCAAACAAAATCCCTACAAAACCAATACCTGAAAACTTTATCATTTTGTTTATTTTAATTTGTCTTTCATTTTTTGTATAAATTGATGTGATAAGTAAAAATGTGTTCTCGAATTGTTTAAAATGTAAACATTGCAGATAAATAATACGGCATTTTTCAAATAAAAACTCTGCCTTCTAATAACGCTAACCAAATTAAAATCATATTCGCAATTTGCACTTTGTAACTTATACAGTTCGATGTGAGACTTCATCACAGTGTGCGTTGAAAAACTAAAATTGATCAGATCGCAAAATGTGATCTGCTTGATACTAATAGCAGTAATCAAGTAATAAAGTAACTATAATTACGTGAAACTATGCACTACTGATTGACTGAGATGAGTGGTTGTCTATCACACAACTCACCCAATACTGCTTGCTAGCCGGATGTAAACTACCTAAACCTCGGCTATCCATTTCGCTCACCTGTCATGGAGTTCATCAGTGTGGTTTCTGGGCCAATTTGGCTCACACAGCTGAATTGATTCAAACCACCTAGCTTGTGGCAGATCACGTACTGTAATCTGAATAATTTCAGTCTTTAAAAGACGAAGCTTTGGTGAAATGTCATTTCCACGAACTCTGTAAAGTTAATTTGCAGACTACGAATTTGATCTATGGTAATAGTAGTTGGCCCGAAAAGACAGCCAGAAATCAGGTGGCTTCAACTGATTTAGCCCTTTGAGCCTAGTGAAGTTATATAGACCACTGATGAGCTCGTTCAAAATGAGCGAATCTGTCGTCTGGTGTTTGAGTCGCCTCAATCCAGCTAGTAAGCAGCATTGGTTGAAATGAGTGGTGTACAAAAACTCATTTCAATCAATAAGTGGTATGTAGTTTTACGCAGCCATCGTAACTTATTAAAAAGACTAATTGTCTTGAATTATTGATTTTTTATCGCTACTGATTTTATTCTTTTGCAGCATCCAGCTCCCAAATCGCTCATAACAGCTTCAGATGATGAACAGTAACAGCTCTGTTTACTCTTGCAGCTGGCTTGAAGATTCGAGCTCACTGAAAAACGAAGTATAGGCAGTAGTTAAATTTTGTAGAGGTGAATAATGAACTTACATTTAAATGAACCTTGTTGAAACAGTTGACACGAATTACCAGTAATATTCTGATCAAATTTTCCAGCGGTCATAGTCCAAGATATTAAAGTTGCATTAATTTGAGATATTGAATTCTTGATTAAATTTCCTTGTGTACGAAAATTCGTTGAATTCCATTTCTTCCCATAGTCATTACTTATTAATATATTGTTATGACCTGAACCTTGAGCAATTAAAATATTCTGTGGATTTATATAGCTTAGAATTCTTGTAACATGTGGTCCCATGTCTATGGATAGAAAATAAAAGAGAAGTTTTACTAAGATTGAAGGAATGTGATGAGAAGTGTAGGCGCTGTTGAAGAGTCTCAAAAAGGACGAAACAGTTGGTTTTCGGTGGTTCTCTAATGAATCCAACTTATCATCACAAAATGAAACAAATCAAATTCCTACAAAGTAACTCATGAGAATCAATCTGACGCTCGTTAGTGACTGGAAATCACAGGAAGTTGCTTGGGCTTCCAATGAGAAGTTATGATCAGTGGAGTCTATTGGGTAGGGGCTGAAGACTGATACTGACAAATGATGGTGATCGGTAGTCGTGCTAAAATCACGAATTGGTGCTAATTAGGATTTTCGGGCCATTACATTCAGACTCAGTGGCTGGATGGTCAACGGCCTCACTTCGTAACCAGGAAGTCGTAGATTCGACCTCCAGTGGAGTTATTATGTATGTAGTGCGGAAGAATGCGAAGCCAGAACGATGGTTCTCCGGCTGGCATCAGCCCGTAGTCAAACCCTACAAAGCCTATCTTAAAAGTAAAATACCATAAGTCCAGAATGACGTAGTCTGTTAACAGGGCCGACTGTTTGTGGGATAACTCAAGAGATATCCCCAAGAAAAGACGGTGTTTACAATTTTTAGATTAAAACAAACTTTAAACAGGAACACTATATCAACAAAACTGGTTTCGTAACCACAGGACATATTTCTCCTACAAAATATTATAAGGCTGTAAGCTGAATCAAGCTCAGATGACTGAAGACTTTTAAATGTAAAAAGAAAGAACTGAGCAAAGAATATACTTTTCTATAATTTCGATATAGAATATTCTAGAATAGACGTCAGTCACAATATTATTGCTTCTATTAGATGGTTGGGGGCAATCGGCAGGAAGCCTTTGACCTAGGCTTCGTGCTAGTTGGCACTCATCAGCAAGGCGTATCTGCAACCTTGAAGGAACTCGTGTCCCTTCTGAGTTTTGAACCCACGTCACCCAGCGCTGCAGACAGACATGTTATCACTGAGCTATTCAGGCTCACTATTGACCTCCTGTAGGACTGTATTGGATATTTTCGATTGGACACCAATCAGTAACTGGTGTTATGTGATTGTGTGTGTGCGTCCAGGCCTCTGCTTACTGTAGACTGTAATTTGTCGGTCAAATATGCAATGTAATGCATTGCACAAACATATTGAACTAGTTACTGACTAGTGTCCAATGTAAAAACTTTGGTTCTTTTAAAAATACTATCGATTTGTTTAGTAAAATCAATGGAATTGCAGTTCAGTAAAGATGCACAAATTATATTACGCATACAAATATAATAGCAGATGGAATATCAAATAAAACTAAGGAAATTTCCACAAACTAAAGAGAAACATTAGGACCTTGACGGTCGAGGTAGGGAAAGTGTCTGAAACAGCTTCTTTTGGATACATGAGTTTGTTTTATTAGTGTGGATCTCAACGGCCTCAGCAGTATGCAGTAGAAGAACTCTTAGGGTAAAGTTAATAATTTTTGCTATACGTTAAATGACTTTGAAAGCTTCTTTAACATTAATCTTGTATACTGTATCGTTAAGGTAAGAGAGAATAGCTCTATAGATGGATTTCGTTTGTTCTTTTCTTAACCACGCAGTCTGATGCTAAGGATTCCGATGAGGAATGTAAAATCCCAATTTCTACTGCTGTGTAACATGTCAGGCCTTCAGAACCATGACTGCTAAAGCAGTCACTATGAGTTTGTTATTATTAGAAAGTGTGATTACTGTGGAGTCCGTTTTTGTTTAGTTTTCAGGTCATCATACTGGTGTCTGATCTAATATCTCGTCAATACTAGACACAGTATTTCAACCAATCCATCATTCATAGTGAGAAGGAATCGACACAGAATGGTAGATTTCCAACTACTCTCTGCTGTGGAAGCCATAAATATATGCATGGATACACCGAGGTTATATGTGTGTCAGAAAGAAGCTCACATAACGTTTATGTCTATTACTGATATGTCGGTGGGCTATTCAAATTACTGAGCTGCTTAAATTCTCTATGCATCAAAATCCAAGCTTTCATTACTCTCAAGTCTGTGTGGAGGTCAACAGAACTCAGCGTCGGAAATAAGATCCAGATTTTCAACTCCAATGTGAAGTCAGTACTACTATACGGATCAGAGACTTGGCGCGTCATAGAGAGCATCTCAAACAAACTACACACCTTCATTAACAGTTATTTTCGCTCATTACTCAAGATCGGATGGCTGGCCAGAAAAGATCAGCAACAGGGATCTCTGGCAATGAGCGAATCAACCAGGAACCGATCGTGAAACAAATAGGCGGGAAGAAATGGAGATGGATTGGCTGGTCATACTCTGAGGAAACCATCAAGTGACATTACTAGACAAGCCCTCGAATGGAACCCGAATATGACCCGGCAAGTTGGTCGTCAGTGTGAAGGTGACTTGGAGGAGGTCATGTAAAGAGGAGATGAAAGCGTGTGGGCAGACTTGGAGCGTGATGAAAACGTTGACAGAAAACCGAACGCAATGGAGACGCGCTCCTGAAGCCATATGTTCCTCCAGGAATTAAAGGAAATAATAATAGTTTAAAGTCTCTATTCATCAAAATCCATTATTGTATTTACTCCATTTCATATTGCTTAATCATCTAGTTACCGCAGTGAGTCGTAATCTACACTGAGGCACAATTTCGAATGCGTTTCTACCTATTGTTAGGCATTTTTCGCAGGAAATAGGGCAATAACTCTGCGGAGTAGTATTGTAACATTCGGTGCTTCAGATGGAACAATAAAGCGTTTGATGGCATTATATCGGTCATTATATAATCTGAAGGTTCCTCACAAGCAGTAAGTATATCTTGCTATGAAAATTCTGTAATGCGTCTAAATGCACTTTCCGGAATAAAGCAATTATAACTGTATTGTGTAGACAGATAAACAATGGCTTATCTTTTATCAGTGATATGGTGGTCAAGGTCACTCTGGAAAAAAACCAATCAGATTTGGCCTACGTAAAATCCTAAATGCTATCAAGCTACTAAACACCGGCTTAAAAGCACTAAAAACGGATCCAGTGATTATGGCATTATTGGAAAAGGTGTGGAAAGAAATAGAGGTACCTACCAACTAGAAGAAAGGCTCCTTGATTAAGCTGCCAAAGAAAGGCGACTTGCAACTCACTCTGCAAGAACTGGCGTGGAATAATGCTCTTGTGCATGCCACGTAAAACACTTAGTCGCTTCTTATTAGAGAGAATAAAAGATGCACTGGATACAGAACACCGCCAGCCTGGAATAAGCTGGATTTAGGGGGACAATTCATATGCTGATTAAATTACAGCTCTTGGCATCATCTTAATCGAACAAAGCGGTCAAATATGTACCTAAACTTCAAAGAGTTCAAAAATGCTATCATCAGATAGCATTGACCGAGAAGTTATTCGGAAACCGCTGTAGTACTACAGAGTGTAATGCCCAAGTCTTTACCAACTTCATTCAGCAGCTGGATCTATGAAAATCCCATGTATCAGGTGATCCACAACAGAAAACTCAGCCAGGTGTTCTTAGTAAGTACAGGAGTAAGACAAGGTTGCCTGTTATCACCGATGATATGCTCAACTGTGGTGAACTGGATTATGAGGAAGACTGTGCGTGGGTAGCTAGGAGGCAAGAGTCCACTGTATAACCGATGGGAAGACTCTAGAAGATCTGTATTCCGCAGATGATATGTGTCTAATGTCACAGAAACTCGAAGACTTACAGGCGAAAACCGACAAACTGGTGAAAGAAGCTGTCAGTGAAAACAGGACTCCAAGTGAATATAGAAGAACTACATTCGAATTTCAACACAAGTTCCGAATAAGTTCTTCTATACGGGTCAGAAACTTGCACTCTGCTTCACTTAAATGATTTTCAACAGGTTGCAGACTTTCTATCAACAGCTGCTCACTTCACTGTCATTATACTGAAGATCAAATGGCGAGCCAACCAGATAGAATTAGCAACAGGAATCTCTGCCGATGAACAAGCAACCAAAAGCCGATTGCCCTAACAAATATGTACAGGAAAATAGAGGTGGATCGGGAATACGCTGAGGGAACCGTCAAATGATTTCGCGCTCCAGGCCCTGGAGTGGAATCGAAATGGGAAGCGACGAGATGGACGTTGGCGTGAGGGTGACACGGAGAGTAGAAGAAGAGAGATTATAGGCCATCATCAAACCACATGAATAGGATGACAGAAAATAGAATAGAAGTGTTTTGTTAAACCTCTATGTTTGACTCTGAAACTAAGGAAATAGTAATAATACTTATAATTACGTCCACATATTATTGCTCATGATCATATACTAGTTGATTTAGGCTTGACAATTTATCGAATCACACACTGTTGCGTAATAAATAATGTGGTTGATAATGAAATATACTTTTCGGCTGGTAATCTTGCTTAGGTAAAGCGGGCTGTGAAACTAGTAGCTATGGTATAATTTTGTTGGTGTAGTAACGTGTTATTCGTGATCAGGTCATCTGTGTCCGAATCAGCATCCCTATTTTAGTCTCGATGTTATTGTTCAGTGTAAAATGGTGACTTTACAACAACTATGGCCTTGAATTAGTTAGGGAATAAAATCTTATAACTGAAATTAATACAAAATTCTTTAATCTAAGTTTTATAATCACACAATTTGTTATTTTATGTCTGACACATAAGTTGAGATTTCTGAGTTAAACAACATTATGAATTAAAATACTAACCTGTCCACTTCGTATTAGAAGTCTCTTGTGTCATAAAGCAGCGTGTCTCTGTAGTGAATTTATCACAGTAGAACAGGTAACCGGAGACATAGAGGAATCTGCGTAAACCTGTATTTGGTTGTTCAACGTATACACTTTTAAGATTACATGGGTCTGGTAACAGAAGAAAATTTATAAAAGAAGAAAAAAATAAACTTGCTTTAAAATCGTAGATGACATTCTGGTTGTCCGTTAACAATCTCTGCTTCCAAAAGATGAAATATCCTTAAGGCTACTTTTATGTATACATAAGTAACACAAATTTGCATCTGTGGTAGAACACTCACCAACTACGCCCTAATCGGTCCATAGTTCGATTCCTGGCGGGGGCCCTGCAAAGCCAATTGTAAGCCTGTCGAAGAGAGAAGGCTGGACGTGGAGCTAGAGCAATTCAATCTCATAAAGTCTAGATACCGCTGATACTGAAGATTGAAAACTCAAACATCATGAAGGTCTATGTTCGAGTAGGAATTTAAGAGGAATGAAATAAATAAAAATCAATAATAATAACACAAATATGTGAAATGTATGTAGTAAGCCGATTAAAAGGAGGACAGTCAGATTATGTCGTAAAATGTCATTGACTAGACAAAAACAATAAGTATACATTCCTACGTAGTAGTCTCAGTCATTAGACGCGAAAAGTCTGAAAAATAGTGCACAATGAAGCTAAGTTATGCCAACATTTCAATCTAATTACTCAGTGAATATATACTCATTAGGCTGTTTAATTTTTATAGTATATATATATTCTAATATCATAAATTTACACTTTCTGCGTGAGCCACGCCTTTTTCTGGTATTCTAAGCCTACTCTGTTTCACAATTTGCAAACTAGTTAGCAATTCGCGGTGTGCACAGTTCGAGGGGTGATATCTTCAGCACACTCTTGTCTGGAGACCAAATTATCCAGATCGCAGTATGTTATCTGCTTGATACCATGAATAGTAACCCAGAAACCAAGCATATTTCCATGAAAAAGCAATATACTACTGACTGATCGGGATTAATAGTTGTGTGCAACTCATATCAACAACTGCCTGGTGTTTAGATCACCTAGATCTGGCTTGGTGGCAAGCACTACTGATTGATTGGTATAAAACTACTTATATATCAGTCATTTAGTAGTATATTTTTTATGCAAATATGCTCATTCAGTTTACCGAACAACCAAACTACGAGAGGTATTTCGTCTTCATCAAAAATGCTTGAAGGTTATATGTTTTTCAACCTACTTCGAATATTCCTAATATTGATCGTCCATTCGTACACAACTTTAAGATTACAGAGTACCCCAAGTCTTCATTAATCTCACTAGACAACTCTATGACAAAGCTACATGTGATTCACAGAGGAAAACTAAGTGAAGCCGTTGAAGGGAAGTGAGGAGAAAGACAAGGCTGACTACTCTTACCCCTGATATTTTTAAGTTTGGTGGGCTGGATTGTGTGGCATACTGTGCGTGGTTAGCGAGAAGACATCAATACGTTGGACAGAGAGAAAGATTCTAGAAGATTCAAACTTAGCGGACCATTTGTGTCTAACTTCACATAAGCTCAAAGACTCAAAGTCCAAAATCAACAAGCTGACAGAAGAAGCAGGCAGCAAAGAAACGATTTGAAGTGAATATAAAGAAGACGGGGGTGGTTAAGATAACCAACTAACATCAGAAACAAAAAGCACCAATCACCACCAGTGAGAGAAATTTAAATGAGGTCAATTTCTTCACTTATCTAAACAGCATTATTTCAACTACAGGTGACATCACGGATGGTGATGTTAAAACCATCCAGGGAGGAACGGCAATTGAGACCCTCACCGCTTAAAAAATTAGTGTGGGAATCTGCCGCAGTCAGCATAAACAACAAAATTCGTAATATCAGTTTTTATGTTAAGTCAGTTAGTTAGTGCTACAATATGGGTTAGAAACTTACAGTGTACGTCACAAAAGCATTTGAAAAAGGCAATGGTATACTGTCATCAACGGGTACCTTCTATGGCTGCATATAGCAGACCAGATGGGCAAAAAGAAAATCTTGGAACAAGCTAAGAACCTGTTACCTAATAAATATTCTGAAGAAGATGGAGATGAACCGAAGGCACACACTGAGGGAATCGTTGGGTAGCGTCGCACTGAATGAAGACCCTCTTATGAAATCCTAATAGATCCGAAGGTGACATGGAGTAGATTGTGTGAGCAGGAGTTGAGATACTATTAGCAATAATAAGCCTAGCTAAAAATGACTTCGGAAAACAGGGTTAGACGGGGATGTGCTGCTAAATCCCTGTGTTCGACTTCTAACTCAAGGGAGTAATAATATGAGATAATGTGTAGTTTAACAACAAGTAGTGAATCACTGTTTGAATGTATATGTGTGAACTATTTTCAGACTTTATCAGGGTCTGTCTTTGTACGATTACGGGAATCACAAGACCACTTGGAATAAAAGTTAGCAACAAGGAACTCTGGCAGCGGATCAGTTTAGAAACCAGTTCCCTCAAATAACATACAGCTAGAAATGGAGGTGGATTTGGCATAAGCTGGGGAGATGTCCACATGAAATACGAGAATCTCATGACTACTTCACATGAGAACTAAATAGTCGTGAGGTAATTTTACTGCGTAGCCTGAAACACTACGTTAATATTTACAGAAGGATGATATGTACTGCTACTATAACTACTACTGATAATAAAATACCAGATGAATGCATAACAACTTACCAAACTGTTGAGTTTCTAGAACCGATCTGCACCCGTAAAGTTCAAGTGTGAATGAAACATCTATGTATTCATGATCTGTTTCACTAACAATTAAACGTATTCCCTTGAAACAAAATAAGGTCTGAGGAGTATTTGTCCATAAGTTGTATTTTTATAGGAGACTGACACCTATGAAATGTAATAATTAAGTATTAAAATAGCTTTATATTTGCAGAATGTCAGAGTGTTTAGTTTTATCGTTATAAATCTTTGAATCGGATATTCAAATGGAAACTTTAAATACTAGTAATAATGGTGATCACTTTATGTAAAACAATAATATCCATTGAGTCATGAAGAAAATAGAAAACAAATTCTGCGAAGAAAATTCTCTTTATCGACGAAAATCATCTCCAGAGGCTGTACAGTAGCGAAAATGTATAGTAGTTGAGTAATAGGATATCCCCCAAGATTTATCGAGAAAAACGTGAAGTTTAAGGGAAAAGCCTGAAAGAATTCAGACGGTGCCGAAAAAACTGCTGTTTATGAGCACTGAATTTAAAAAGTGATACCGCAGGTGAGAATCGCTTATGCAGATAACTGAGGAAAGCCTTCTTTATGGCTGAGCTACATATCAATTTCTATAGCCGACAAATGATTAACGGATGTGTGAAGGATAAACTGCCACTTTGGGACACTTCAGTGTGTGTCTATAAGTTCACCTGCTCGTGTGGAGCAAGTTATATTGGCTGTTCGCACAAAGCGCACACTTTCAAAAAGCATCTCTGAACATTATCCGGCATGATTAGCTAAAGGACAATGAAAGACAACTACTAGTTCAATTCTCGAGGAGTTGGTGAACTCAGGCCACGCAGCTCCAACAGAGTCGTCTTTCAAGATCATCTACTAAGTGAAGCCAAATGATACAAAGAGATTCAGGTTTCGGCTTTTTCGTATGGCGAGGTCATGGGCAATTCGTCAATACAACCTCAAACTTTCTCTACTGAAAAAGCTTGTCCAGTCTCTTATTCCACCTCGGTCTTAACCACTTCACTAGTCGTTCCCTGTAAAAAGTTTTGACTTTTTCTTTTCCTTTTTTAATTTTACTTTTAGTTTCTATTTACTTTAATAATTAATTCGCTATTATCACTCTCGTATGTTCCTTTTGTACATTTTCACACCCTCTTCATACTTGTCAAATTCATACTCAACTACCCTTATTCACACTCAATAGCAATTTTATTCTTATGAAATTTCTATCTTCGTACCGTTGAGTACCACGTAATTTGCAACCATTTGTTTTACCTCTAAGTCCTATTGCGAGTAGTTATATCAATTATGTCACCCGCTATTACTCAATAATAGACTAATAACTGAAATTTTCGGTAAATATAAATACGACTCTACACAGTTTCAGAAGTAAAATGATTTCGTCGATAAAAGAAAATTTTCTTCGCTGAGTAGTTTGTTTTTTCTCCATTATGGATAAGATTTCATTTTGGTAAATCACACAGTGGTGTTATACAGTAATATTAACTGATGACCACGTTTCGAGCACAAACTATCGCTCATAATCATACCAAGTCACTCATTTATATACATGAATGGAATTGATTAGACATCTGAATAAAAATCAACACAGGATAATGTACATTCAGAAATAATAATACCAGTATTATTGGTAAAATACAATCAGATGGGAAATAAGACGACTGTTTTTTATAGTCATAATAAGTTACTTGTTAAAATGTTGTGATGTGTTTCAGTTGAAATAGAATTTTGAGATTATTTATTATCCTCTTCTGATTTGACTGGTGGTAATAGTATCTTCCATATTTCTGGTATTTGCATTGAGTCATTTCTGTTGCATGTGTTGGGTGTAGACTCAATGAACCAGAATTCAGTAATCAACTTCTATCTCCACCTACCTAGATTACTTTTTAGGAATTTAACCCTATCCACCCTATTGGTTGGTTGTGTTAATGCATGTAGTGCAATTGCTGAGCTTTTTTCTAAACAACTAACAGTCTCGAGGTCAACCATTCTTACCTTACCTAGATTCTTATATTCAGACAATCTGACTACCCCTGACCTACTAGTTTTATCTATATAGTTAACCTCACAGTCATTGCAGGTTACTTTGTAAATCACGTTGTTTGGTTTAATCGGGTCCACCGCGTCATTAAGCCTACGGAACATGTCCTACCTGAGTGAGTTTGTAGGTTTGAATGCCCCCCCTTATTCCCTGCTTTATCGAGAATCCTACGTAGAGTCTCAGATGTCCCCTCCTTATATGGTATAACAGTGGATGACTTATATTCTCTCTTATTTATGTTATCATTACTAGTTCCACAATTATTTTTATTTTGTTTTTGGCATTTAATGATCTTCCTAATGAATTTTATAGGATAGTTATTCAACACCAACTCTTTTTCTATCTGTTTTAATTCATCATTTAGATTTTTTTGTGCTACTTAGTGCCACTGCTCGGTTTGTTAAACATTTAACTAAGCCTGCCTTAACAGTTAAAGGATGAGACGAATTAGAGTCTAAGTATCTATTAGAATGCGTTGGTTTTCTATAAACACTAGTGTGTAGTTTGCCTTCTTCTATTCTTTTTATCTTACAATCTAACATAACTAATTCTCCTTGTTCATTTTCCGATTCAAATGTGAATTTTATTCCCTCCACTAGTGAGTTTATGTGTGTCAAGAAGCTGGAGATATTTTCTGTTTTTAACACTGTGAAAGTGTCATCCACATATCTCAACCACCATATTTTTGGAGTAGGATTAAATGTATTAAGGGCAGTATTTTCCCAGCTGTCCATAAAGATGTCTGCTACAATAGGGGATATTGATGATCTCATTGCTACACCTTCTGTTTGTCTATATATTTTACTTTGGAATTTAAAGATAGTGGATGTGAGGCATAACTGAATCCCTAAAATAATTTGTTCAATGGGCAGCTTTGTCCTATGACTGAGTTCTTCGCTAAATTTGTCTTTTAATAATATTTAAACAGGATGCAACATTCAGCCTTTTTATATGTATTGAAATAATTTAGCTCCTTTTATAAATATGCACATGCAAAAGATCTAAAATAATAATAATAATAATAATAATAATAAAGCCATGAAAAACTGAATATTGGTGAAAACACAATAACTCATAAATAGATAATATCATGCTTAATATATAATGATAATAATCTTTGTTTATACTTGGAAATTCAATTACTGATTAAAAAAGCTTATAAGCTCTTTTTTGACATCTTACTGGCCACACAAAAACGCGTGATAAATATGGTGTGGTAGAATTTTTGTATTTAGTAGCTGTAAGAACGTAAATTCTTATGAAGTATGTTCCTTTTTTACCTGGAGATGTACAAGGCAAACTTTGAGAATAAAGAGAATGTTTAGTATCGGACAAGATAACTTTAGACAAACACTTGTGAGAAGTAAAGTGCTTATTGAAAATAATGTCAGTTAGTTGAGCCAAAAGCACACCACTAAACCTACTTACAATCCTCAGTGTCCTACGTAACACGACATAGTCTTTTTCGGGAAGCCCAGGGAAGAGTAAGTGGGCAGGGACAATATAGAGGGATGGGTAGATTACATGAATTGATGAATTGTAAGAGAAGAGGTTGAGTTATTCCAGAAGGTCTTAGTACCTCTATGTTCTCTAAGTCAAACGAAACATTTTCTCAACAGGATATGTATGAGACGACCAATAGAGATGCTGAGATAAGAGATATTCAACCTACCACCTATCACAATGCCGTCAATAATACAGGAATCATGGCAATAAATCAGCCCACGCAGTTCTTGTTCGCATCGAAAACTAAAATCGACAATATATCAATTGTGCGTCGGTGGCACAGTGGTTAGGACTCTCGCCGACCATGCACATGGTCCGAGGTTCGATCCCCTGCCGACGCACACCTGATATCTATGGTCGGCCTGTAAAATTTGGGCTACCGATATCCATGCTGAAAATTCCATACTCGTACCAAAAATACAGTGTGGAATCAAGCTGTAATAAAAAAATTAGGATGGATTCAGTTTAGGACCACTTAGGTGGGACCATTAGTTAAATTCGGACAAGAATCTGGTTATATAAGAACAATCCAAAGTAGAGACTACTGGGGCAGAAATGATTAGACCGTAGGCACACTAAATGAATTTAGCTTTGGAAGTATATGGAAGGTCGTGAAAAAGAGAAAGAATAAAGAAATGGAGGGAGTACAGAGGTTTGAGGTACACCAGTTTCCGTCGGCAAAGAACTGAAGGAGATTGTCAATCAATCCTAGCGTATTCCGTGATTATTGCTGATTTGCAGTTATCCTAGAATAAATGGAAAAATTTGACGTGTCACTGGTTCGGTGATAAAATGCCTACAAACCGCTTACGTGGTTCAGGTTCGACTCCCGACAGACACACATCTGGACTTCGTTTAGTTTACAAAAGGTTATTAAAGTCATAGAAAAGGGAAGTTTAGGATTGAGGCTATCATCCCTATTCCGTAAAAATAAGACCACTCGGAACTTAAGGAGCGACAAAAGAACATTAGTGTTCTTTCTATAATTTGTAAATGGTGAACAGTAACTACTATTGAGTTGTACCCACAATGTGCATTTCATGTTCAACGGCGTCATTTGCAAACAAAAAGAGAGGATTGTCATGGGATCTCTGCTGGGTCCACTGCTAGCCTACTGTTTTATGGCATGCCTCAGAAATGGTCAAATTAAGTCAATTATCAATAATCTTCAACTGTATGCTAGATATGTGGATGAGATTTTGATTATTCGTGGTGACAGTTATGGTTATAATCAAACTTAACAGATATTAATCAGCTGTCATCCAATAACTCTTGAAGAAGAAAACAAATCTAAAATTCCTTCTCTTGGTGTTGAACCTAGAAGAATAGCCTATGCAAATTTAACAAAACCCACATGGAACGGCCAACTGACATGTTTCTACGGCTTTATCAATGGAACGTAAGCTGAACCTAAATATATTTCTTGCCATTCGCGTCCAATGCATCTCCAGCTTTGATGCTCTGGAAAAACACATATACTTTTGAAGAAAATCTTCATGGGTAACTTATATCCACTAAGATTTATTGAAAAGAACATCAAGCCAAAATTTCAAAGAAAAGAGGCGTCATCTTTGCCAAAATAAGAAACTTCAACCTTGACTTCAAAGATTACCTACTCAGCGACGCACATAAGAAGATAATTTTGGCTTCTTCAAGAAAACGTTTGCTTGCAGCTACGTTAAGTGTAGTGTCCTCCAGTCGTCCACTGGCCTGTAAAAGCCCCAAGTATGAAATCTTGCATCTGACAACTTTTATGCACATATATCAGTTCACCTGTTCTGGTGTAGCCAGGTAGGTTGATCGTTCGACTCAAATCATCTCTAAAATGGGTTCGAGAATACTATCCCACATGGTTGCAGAAAGGTAGCAGTGGCTCTATAAGAATTTCAATTACTGAACACTTTGTGTACATTGGCCACTCTATCTCAAAATACTCCTGCTTTGAGGTGGTCTATAAGGTGAAAAGTAGTCTGCCCTGAGGTGATCTACTTATGTCTTCTTTGTACTTTTGAAGCTCTAGCTTTGTAGTAGAGAAAATGGAGCTGTACATACGATATAATATCTTTCATCCACTTCTTTTATCGTGGTGAGGATCCTATAATTTCTTTCAACCTGACCGCACTACTTATTTTATTTCTCTGACCTCTTGTGACTCTTCTTTCCTTCCGAACCTTTAAGTAACATAGAATTTCATTTGTTTCTGTATGCACTGTTATTACAACATACCTATTCAATGAAGTATATTACTTTCCACAGTATAGATCACCTCAAGGCAGGAGTATTTTGAGATAGAGTGGCCAATGTACACAAAGTGTTCAGTAATTGAAATTCTTATAGAGCCGCTGCTACCTTTCTGCAACCATGCGTGATAGTATTCTCGAACTTCTTTTAGACAGGATTTGAGTTAAAAGATCAACATACCTGGCTTTGCAAGAACAGGTTGACTGATATATCAGCATAGAAGTGGTGAGATGCAAGATCTCATACTTTTTCAGACCAGTGGACAACTAGAGAACACTACGCTTAACGTTGCTGCAGATAAAAGTCTCCTTAAAGAAGCCGGAATTCTCCCCTTCAGGACATCACTGAGTGCACCCTGTGTTGCAAATTAATTACTAAGTTAATTATCTAGTTGTATAATTTTATCACCTTTTTTCAAATTGCCATTTTTATTGGTTACTATTAGTGGCTATTCTTATGATGAGTTATCCTTTTCTTAATTTACACTTTCACAAAGAAAACTTCTATTTAAATGCGACTGTACAGCTAAAAAAAATTCCCGGAGGTGAAATTTCACTACAGTTTCCTTCAGCAAATCAAATTATTCAGATCACACATCACATCTGCTTGATACCATAAACAGTAATCAGAAGAGCTGAACAGTCATTCGATGTTTCGATTATTTCTATTTGACTGCCGAACACTACTGGTTGATGTGAGTGGTGAACGAATAAACACCTCAAGCAATCGATCAGTAACATGTAGCTGTATGCATATATGTTTGGTTTCTTTAGTACCATTTTCGTATCGAGCAGATCGCTTACTGTGATCTGAATAATTTGGTCTCAAAAGAAAACTGTTGCGAACACTTCTCTCCTCGAACTGTGCTCATAGTAAATGCCTGAATAATTTGCAAATTGTAAATTTGGCGGAGACATTAGGAATGACACCTAGTGCCTTTTTCTGTAATATTGTAACAACAGAAGACAAGGGCTGGCAACAGATCGTTTTATTACGAACATCAACACGTATTTATATATGTTTTATGTGCATTAATAAGGCTTATGCAAGCAGAAAAAGGCAGTCTTCTGATTGGTTGTTTCTCGGAAGTTAAGCAGACAAACACAGTCTTATGATTGGTTGTTTTCGATATTTCTCGGAAAGTAGAGCCATCTATCTGCGAATCATATTTGTCCACATTTAAGTTTGCTGTGATTGGTTGTTGAAACAGCCTTGTTCATATTTTCTCACGGCCCATATTAGTGACCTAGAAATTAACGTAGATTAGTGTCAACCAATCGGCTAGCAGCCTGCTCTCACCACAATATAAGTGCGACTGTACAGCTCAAAAATAGAGTTACATACGGAAAATATTTCTATTCTGCAGAAAGCTGTTTCTCGTTCTTACGATGTGTTTGGAATAGTTTTAAGAATTTTTGCAGGAAGGATATAAGGAAACAGAAATCATGTTATATAAACTTACTGTTCTAACACTGAAAAACGCTTTACCATCATTAGTCCCCATTAAAATCATTCTTTGAATTCTGTTCGTCAACACTTTCATGCTAACGTCTATTCGACTAATATTTGTTTGTCTTCCGAATAAAATACTGACATAACGTAATATTTTGAAAGATCCCGGACGTAGAAATGGTTTGAATCCAACAATCGAAGTTGGCCTTATTTCTTCTTTTAGGAAACCAGCATAAGGTGTTACAAATGTGGTGATCTGGCATGGTTGAATCAACTGAGTGTTAGATAGGCCAAGATTTTCTTCACAAATTACGCCTATAAAACATTAAGGTATGAATATTATTAATAATACTTGATTCGCTCTCAGAGCTTGAAGAAGAATATACACGCACACATTAAACCTAAATTACCGCTAGATGGTTGGAGACAATCAACGGTTTCCTGAGTTTTGACACTTATCAGCAAGGCGTGTCTGAGATCTTTAAGGAACTCACTGTAACAGTATAATTACTCAGAAAACTCCTCTTCATTGATCTAATTATAATATTTGTACCTGTTTCGATTTTGAAAACATTTATTTCCCGAAAGGAATTTAAAACAAGCAAGATTTAATGAATTCATCAAATTTCGGTAGAACTCGTCAGCTGAACACTTTACATACACTGATAAGTAAACAAACTACATTGAATTAGTCATGCTGAAAGACAGGTGCAAATATTTTCCAGTTCATATCAAATAGATAATGGGAGAGGGTCTATGAGGGATTAAAATTAAGATAAAATGCATTATGCTTTAATTATATCACTTAGATAAACAATTAGACATTAGAGAATATAACAAGAATTGCAAACAGAGTAATATCAATAGTAATTATTATAATAATAATATTGAAGTGAGTTAAGATAATCCTACTGATAAAGGATAGTTTTAAATGAATCAAGAATAATAATAATGAGGTTGAAAAATAAGTAAAACGTATTAGTATGGTAGATTCAAAGTCATGACCATCTCCTGGTATATAAACTCGAATTGCACAAACCTCTGCAATTACAAACATCTTCTTGTTTCTTTGTCTGCTGACAGTAGTGAATGACTTGACTGTGTCGATATCATGTCCGTAATCCACAAGATGTTTTGTTATTGAAGATTTTGGCACTTCGCACTCAGCTGTTTGTAACCATTTCGGCGAATGCTCCATCATGTGAGTAGACAATCGCCTTTCTGTACGACCTATGTATTTGCTGCCACAAACACACTCAGACTGATATACGCAGTTTGAAGTGTCGAGGCTTGGTGACTGGTCTTTCCCAGATTGTTGAAGCACTCGCTTATTAGTGTTAAGGATAACAAGTTTTGCAGCATAATAAGTTCCCTTGATGGCTTTATTGAGTCTTCGTTTGACTACTTCCTGTACAGCATCTCCTTCGAACGCCAAACAATTGTAGACAGGTTTCTTCGGAACTGTTTGGATTGTTTTGCAGGGGCTAATTTCTTTAGAGTATTTCTCAATGAACTTCTCAGAATATCCACTTTTAGATAAAATATTCCTCAGAGATTGTATTTCATGGTCAGTAGTACTGTCAGAACAAGTTTTTCGTGCTCTATTGAACAGTGTTCTGACTAAATTCTTTTTATACTGGATTGGAACAAAGCTCTTGAAATGCATGTACTGTCCTGTCTATGAAGACTTTCTAAATATAGATCTTTCGATTGTGCCATCACTCTTTTACACTAGAAAAACGTCTAAAATTCCATAGTGTTGTTTTACCCGTGTTCTACGGAAAAATTTAGATTTGGATGGCATGAGTTCAATTTTATCAACATGTCTTCGACTTTTGAGCTGCTTCCACAGACAATAAAAATGTCATCAACATATCTAAGGTATACATCCATTTCTTGTATATGTTGCTTCAAGGTACCTGTTTCTAAGCATGACAGAATAAGTCTGCGAAAAGTGGTCCCGAAAATTTGATGAATTCATTAAATCCTGCTTTATTAACCTTTATTGCCTGCTTAGATGTGTCAACTTTGTAATTATTATCCGTTTTTCTCTCAGACTGTTTATCATTCTTATGACATTTGCATATCACATATCGATTTGGTCCACTCTGTTTATCTTTGTCCCTGTTTCATCTCTTTGTGATTGTACGATACATTGATAGAGTGTTATCTTACGATGTGCTTTTGTTTGAGTGAACCCAGATCATTCTGGAATCGGACTACTGTCTACGGGAAGCGTTAGTGCGTGATTCTTGTAGACAGGTTTTTGATCTCAGCTCGTAGGAAAAACTCTTCTTGATCATCAGATACTCCTTACGGCGGAAATTCAGTCATGCAGTTTTGTTTTACAATACTTGTCTTGTATGGCTGCCCACTGGCATCGTTGAGATAATTTTGAGTTTTAGATGTTATTATCGATGATTGGAACCACAAAGATCAATCAATAAATAGCCATCTTTTTGCCGTGTTTGAAGCATTTGGTGACTAGAGGTCCCACAAGGAAGTTTCATTTGGGTATACTGTAGGACAAAGAGGTCGGTTTTGCTCGTTACACACTTGTCCCTTCTGAGATTTGTAGATGATCCACCTGGTGATGCAGCTAGAGACCCTATATTTCAATCACTTTGATTGATCTGTAATGTAGGTTAGCATTTTCTAACAGAATCTAGAGTACATGAAGTCCTCAATGAAAGCATCTTTTTATGTACAAATTTTCCAACAAACTGATAAATTCTGCTATTCTGACAAAGAAAGGAAGACGAAATTCGCAGTATAAAATGATATTATCATTCTATTTCACAGGTTCTCGTCAGCTGCAAACCACTACCTGGAATTACCATAATGTTTAAGTGGATGTAGAGAAGAAATACTATAAAAATTGAAGCATCCAAAATGTAAGCATTACAATGTTTTTAGTTTAAGTTTTCATCATCGATTTATACGCTTTCAGAGTAGAAAAGAGGGGGAAGGAGTGAGACAGAAAAGAAGGGCTTCTATCGGGTTTTTTGAACATATTCCAAGAAACCTGTGCCTGGAAGGAAGCAAATATTCTCAGAGTGTAATTACCAGATATCTTGTTGATACCGGACATCTCGTAGAGATTTTATTAAATAGAGAAAAGGTAAGCAAATTTACTACGATTTGCCGAAGCGATCACAATCAAATGATTCAAACCAGACTTATGCATACAGAACGAGAGTGTGATTGACCTCTCACTCCCTTGGTAACTGAATTATGATTTCGATTGCATTAATTAGTCATCTAATTCAGTGATTTCAACTCACTGAACAACTTTTGTTTTTCGAGTTGCTATGTGAACCTACAAGATAACACTGTTTGTTAATTTTTTTCTACTTTCGTTCTTGCCCCACTCCACCCTTTTCTACTTTGTAAGCGTATAAATTGATGATGAAGATTTTGGTGTGGTTTTGTTCTCTGAGCTGGATGGTTAGTTTGCGAAGCTTTCATCACCTTACTGGGTGACATCTTCAGCGCATACTTCAATTTGAAGTGAGCTTTTAGATTTCTCCACGAGTTTATTAATCATCTCTCCTGGTGACCTTGGACGTGATTGGTTGTTTGTGTGTGTTTTCACACCTCCTAGGTTACTTGTATTGGAACCGGTTGTTTCTTTGACTTGAAAATTGCCTTACCATATGTAAAAGATATCTCAGAAATCACTACAAGACTCTTCAAACCTTTAGGAATTGACGTCGTACACAAAACCAACAAGGTCGCTGCACTCAATTCTATGTCAACCAAAAGACTCAACAGCGAAAGAAGACAAAACCAACATCATCTACAAAATAAACTGTAACAACTGCGAAAAACACTACATCGGCCAAAGTGGACGTCCCCTTCGTCTTCGTATCCACGAACATAAGCTAGCCGTCAAAAGACATGATATCCACTCCCTCATTTCACTACACACAGACAACTACGGACATCAATTCGACTGGGACAACGTTCAAATATTAGACAAAGGAAATAACAAGAATGCTAGAGAATTTTTAGAAGCTTGGCATTCTAGTGAATCATCAATCAATAGACACAGCGAGATAGACAAAAGTTATCAACCAATAAGAAAGAAACTTCATAGACAAAGGGTCAAAGTTCAAGTCAAAGAAACAACCGGTTCCAATACAAGTAACCTAGGAGGTGTGAAAACACACACAAACAACCAATCACGTCCAAGGTCACCAGGAGAGATGATTAATAAACTCGTGGAGAAACCTAAAAGCTCACTTCAATTCAAATTGAAGTGTGCGCTGAAGATGTCACCCAGTAGGGTGATAAAAGCTTCGCAAACTAACCATCCAGCTCAGAGAACAAAACCACATCAAAATCATCCACCTGAGCTACAAATCTTCTCTATCATATGATGATGAAGACTTAAACTAAAAACATTGTAATGCTTACATTTCGGATGCGTCAATTTTTATAGTATTTCTTCTCTACTACCACTTAAACATTAAAGTATGTTATTATCATCTATATATAACCACTGCAATTTCAGGTAGTTGTGTACAGCTGACGAGAACCTGTGAAATAGAATGATGATATCATTTTATACTGCAAATTTCACCTTCCTTTCTTTATCTTAATTTATCAAGGGAACCAAATATATGATATTATGCTATTCATTTTTCAATAATAATAATAATAATAGCTTTATTCCAAACATGTTTTTATTCAGTGCAGAAATTCAAACTTGGCTTTATCTATTAATTACTGAAAATCTTCGTGAAAAATGGTAATCTACTGTATTTTTACGAGTTGATCACGGATTGATATCAGCTAGAGAACCATTGAAAAACAGCTTGGAGTACTGGACAGTAGTTTTGGAATCATTGGCAGTACGCACCCACTGGGATTCCAACCAAAGGGGCTTCTGGTTACAAACCAAACTATAGAAAAATAATCTGGTGCTCGCTAGTGACTTGCTACAGGATGCAGTTTCCTGAAGTTCTAGTGAGAAACCGTGACCAGTGAGGTACAATTAGATGTCACGTATGTGGATGGATGTCCCACCTACGACAGTGGTTAGGGTCGCACTAAATCACGAATTGGTAGAAGTGACAATTCATGAGCTACTGAATCGGGTCCCAATGGCTGAATGGTACACGAGCTTGCTTTGTAACAGGAAGGTCCTGGATTTGAACCCCTTGTGGGGTGGCTGTGTACTGCTGACGATTCCCAAACTAGTATGAAACTTCTGTCCAGTACTCTAAGATGGTTTTCAATGGTTCTCTATCTGATATCAATCTGTGATCAACTCGTAAAAACATAACTAACCCTTACAAATCAAACTATGGTAAAATCTACCGTGTATATATTACTAGTCGGAATTTTGTCAAATCTCAAACACGCTCCAACTCTCGTACGTATATGTCTTTTCAAAAAACACCTAGATAGCGTTATTCGAAAATTCACGTAATTTCAGATTGTTCTTCAGAGACATCAATTGATGGTTGAAACAAGATATAATTGAGTAAAGTTTGACTCCTAATAATCAATAAGCCTCAGTATAATAAGCTTACTAGTGCCATAATGCAACTCAGAACAGATACAAACAAGAAAAGGATGAATAGATACAAAACCAATAGCTTATTTTCAGTTGTTAGACTTTCGTCATGAACCAACATCGGTTAGACAGATCACTGAAAACCAATCAGGAGTAATGGGGTGATGTTTTATCTTATTTTGGGATTCCTCAGCGGTGATAACCTACGACTCCACCAGGGATGGAACAACGTAAACTTCTGGGTTACAAGATCAAGTCCGTTGACCACACACGCACTTGGGCTAGAGATTTCGGTGACTATTGAATGCATTTCCTGAAGCTGCAGTGATATGTTCTGGCCAGTTGGGTCATTTATGTCAAGATGAACTTTATTTTCATAGAAGGCTTGGGCAAGGTTGGCACTATATCACGAGTTGATGGACAAAGTTAGAATTCACAGATTGTTAAACTCCACCAGCCCAAGTGGCCGAACAGTTTTCAGCATGCTTGTTATGGTAAATTGAAGGTTCGAACTTGATGGGTTCGATCCCTAGAGCAGTCTTTGGTGCACATTGCTAAAGAGTCTCAATGTAGGGCAAAACAACTTGGTTGGCTTCCAGTGATCTCTCTAACTGATGTTGGCTTATGACAAAAATCTAACTGTTAGAATTAGTTCAAAATCTCCATAAATCCTCCAATCTGGATTTAATAATAGAAGAGAATAATTTCTTTGAGTTCATACTCCACACGTCTGAAGAATATTTTGAAGTGTAAAAGGTTAACTTTAAGGGGATAAGGATATAGAATTTATAGAAAACAAATGTATAACAGGACAAATGCGGAAATTTTATCATCAGTATAAAATTTCACTTACCTGTTTCTCCAGTTGTTGACCTTCTAACCTTTACGACAACACTTTTCATAATTCTCCTCACCGATGAAGTTTTACAAGCATTCATTGTGGTTGGATTACGATTGTAGATTAGGCAAACTAGCTCACCGATGATAGTCAGATTTGCCTCTGTTTTACTACCAGGAAATGTTACTACCTCGTTCAATGTCAATTTTAATCCAAGAGTTAAGTTATTGTCAAAACGGAAACCATTTGTCTGAAGTGAAAATGAATTTCAAAATAAGTGAAATAAAGTTTCATTTAAAAATGGAGTTAACAGTTCACAATGAGACTATCAGCAGTATGTATACACTTCAGAGGGATATATGTAAAGAATCAAAGGAGTTCGTCAAATCAAGTGAATTTCAGTCATTTCCTCTTCGACGATCGGGTTGGAGTACACCATAAACAGTTAGATTACCAGAAGGGAAGAGTTCGGCAGCTGTATTGTGGTGTGATTGCGTATCACTATGCTCTCTTTGTATTATCATTAATAAATACACCTTCGAGAATTCGGAAGTTTTATATTCTCCCTTCACTGGCTTAGGTGACGTGGTGTGATCAAAAAACTCACATAGCAATCATGAGTGTTATTTCTGGATAAGGGCGACAGGAAGTGAGTTCAAGATAGTTCAAGCAACCTAACTTACTGGTATCCTAGACATGTTTAACCAGTAATTAGCTACTTTGATATATAAATTTCTGAAGGTTTAAATAAATGTATAGTTACTTGACAGACCATCATTTTTACAGTATAAATTTCTTTTAACCACAGGTTTAACGGATGCAGATGTCAAAGCAAGGTGGAATCGCAGAGGTAAGATACGCTTTCATCAACCTGAAACCAAATTGGAAATCTTCTGCCTCACTCAGTCAGCATAAATAACGAGATTCGAATTCTGTTCACTACAAATGTGAAGTCAGTCAGTTGTTCTATATGGGTCAGAAACGTACACTGCGTGTCACAGTAAAGGTCTCCGAAAAGTTAGACTTTTATTAACATCTGCCTCCTTCGCTGGCTGGATTCATACTGAAAATCAAATGGCTATCCAGACGGAATAAACGACAAAAGAAGTCTGCAGTGGAATAAACCAAACAAGAGCCAATCGCTCAACAGCTATGTGGGATAAAATGAAGACGGATCAGGCATATGTTGAAGAGTCCGTCTAATGATATTGGTTGCAGTGCAGACCACCACTTGGGTGGAATCCCAGTGGGAAGCAACGAGTGGGCTGTCAGCGCGAGAGTGACATGATGGTGACTGTGTATTCAAAAAGGAGGAGATGAGAGACTATGGACAATCGTGGAGCTAACCAGCTGAAGCGAACAGCAGAAAGTAAAACCAAAGTTAGCTGTGTTGTTGAGATAAAAAACATGAATAAGAATGATGGAATAAAATGGAATTTAACCTGGTTACAACACCCGCTTACCCTATGAAATGACAAAATCAACACGTGTGTGATAAGCAATTTCATTATGTAAAGACACGCTGCTTTTATAACTTTATACACTTATCAAATCCAACAAGCTACACCTGGTTTTGTTACGAATCGGCCAATTCGACAACGCGAAAATGACCTCATGCTGATGAATGATGATTAATTTGCTATTTATATAAGCTGAGATTTTGAAAATTCTGATTTATTATTACTCTGATGAAGCTATTGGGAGCAGCATTGAATAGCGAAACATCAGTAAAAACAATATCGTTTTGTTTCTCATTCATTAGGAAATACAAAAAGCCTTTAGCATAATAAACATATGAGACTCTAATGCTTAGCGTCTCTATGATTCCTTTCGTTTTCCTTCTTTTTTTCACCCTTTTAGTTTCTAGATGAAAGTGGGACTTCAGGATTGAGCACTCAAATTTTAAGCAATTGTGGTGCTGTTTTTACGGAGTGCAGCTACTTTCCTCAAGTCTAACCTTTCCTCTTTAAAAGATTTACTTTTGGCTAGCAAATAAGATGAAGTTCACGGATGGACTGGTCAGGAATGAAAACTCAAGCCATATTGTTATTTGGCAAGTACTTGATCGCTGAACCACCAATATCAACGTCTTAATTAATTGTAAGTGCAAGAGATCTGGCTGAAACACTTCTTATTGTTAAGACAACTATGCAACTGAACTGACGCCAGCTAGCTTACTATTCTCTCCGAAAGATTGAACAAGAAGCCACTCAAAATATAAGTGTTTTAATTGCATCTGACTCAGAGTAAACACAATACCAGACAAAACATCATTATAATTATCAAGGTGAATATACGCCAATTTATGTGTTCCAAAAAATTTAGATAGATTTCACATCAAAATATTGGTGTTTACATTAGACCGATTGATCGAGGAGAATTTTTACGAGTTGATCATGGATTTATAACGGATAGAGAACACTCGAAAACCAGGGAGTACTGGACACCTGTTTCATCTTAGTTTGAGAATCATCGGCAGTACGCACCCACCTCACAAGGGATTCGAACTCAAGACCTTCCTGTTGCAAGGCAAGCTCATGTACCATTCAGCCATTAGGACCCGATTGAATGGCTCATGAATTGTCACTTCTACCAATTCGTGATTCGGCCTCAACCTCAACCATTATCGTACGTGGGACATCCATCCACGCACGTGACATCTAATTGTACCTCACAGGTCACGACTTCTCACTAGAACTTCAGGAATCTCCATCCTTTGGCAAGTCGCTAGCGAGCATCAGATTAATTTTCTATAGTTTGGTTTGAGCCATTGAACCGAGTCCCAGTGGCTGAATGGTATACGAGCCTTGTAACAAGAAGGCCCTGGGTTCGAACTCCTTGTGGGGTGGGTGAGTACTGCTGATGATTCCCATACTAGTATAAAGTAGCTGTTCAGCACTTCCTGGTTTTCAATTGTTCTCTATCTGATATAAATCCGCGATCAACTTGTAAAAACAAAACCAACCCTTTCAAACCAAACTATAGATGAGAATTTTATAGGAAGTCAAATTATTTGTGGGCCACTTCCAATCACCTTCAGTTGAATGTTTTCATTCCTTCTGGTTCCTGGTGGAACATTGAGTTCCAACAGAATGTTTCCATTTCATTGTGTTCTCTTCAGTCTTGTTTTAGCTCACCACATTATCGCCGATAAGCTTTCATCCTCCCCTCACACGATCTCCTCTATTTGACCCTTGGATCAGTGCCCATTTAGGCGAAAGCCTGGCACGCTATGTCACCCAACAGGCTTCTCTGTTTACTTTGGAATATTCGTTGAGTAGTAGGTTCTTGGATCAGCATAGTTTAGTTGCTCAAGCTTTTCTTTCTACCACTTACTATTTTCTCTATTCTTTTTTCCTCTGATTTCTTTCTTATTGGTTGACATCATTCGTTATAAAGTTATTCAATAATGTTTTTATGCTGTGTTCATTATGTTCACATACAGAGTCGTATAAAAACCAAGATGAGGTAGATCAACTCAACTGAAACCTGACATGACTACTTCAGTGTGAAGAGCACACATATCGATCAATCTGTCTATCAGTTGGTGGTTCACAGGGATTCGATTTATTTCCAGTTTGACTGCAAGCTTACATCATTTAGAGAACCGTTGAAAAGCAAAAATTGATGGACAGCAAAGGCAGTACTTCATGGGAGCATAGAGAAGGCGAATGTGATTAAGATAACCAGCATATCCACCAAAACTAACAAGCCCATTCACTACCAACAGAGTAAATTTGTATGAGGTAACTAGATCCACTCATCTAGTTGTGCATCTTCATCTCATTTACAGGCGACAACATAGATAAGGATGATGAGGTAGACCTTCAACACTTTGGAATCAGAGCAGGAAACTTCTGCAGCCAGCATGAGGAACAATATACAAATTTTTTAACACCAATGTTGGAACAGTCAATTTTTCTATGTAGACAGAAAGCTGGAGTATCACAAGAAGTATTTCCAGTAAGTTAAAGACATGTCTCAGCAGCTGCCCTGGTGGCTGCAGACTGAAAATCAGATGCCGGGCCAGAAAGAGTTAGCGACAAGCAACTCACGGAAGGATCCAATCAAAAACATATTGTCCAACGAATATTTGGAAGAAAATGGAGATGATAAACGCTGAGGAGACCATTCAGTGACATCAGATCCCAGGCAGTCCCTCGAATGGACTCCGATTTAGAAACTTGCGATGAATTAGGAGAGGGTATGAAGGTGACACGTAAGAGACCATATGAGGAGGAGAAGAGCCTGTGAGAGGTTGTGGAGGCCGCTAAGAAGAGCTACAGAGGACGAGGTGAGGTAGAGATGTGCTAGTAAAGCCCTGTGTTCCATTAGGAACCAAAGGAAATAACAATAATAATAAGATCACACATTTATTTTAGTTTGTGACCCTTCAAAGGTGCACAGTCATGATCTCTCCGTTTACCGAAGATTTGTTAGAAGTTAGAATTTACTGGTCGTCGGAATTCATCTTACTGACTGAATGTTCAGTGAGCTTATAAAGTGAAGGAAGTTCTTTGTTTGATAACAAGTAGAACCGTGAATACTCAGTGCTGAAGTGTCACTTTCTAATTTGAAGTGTCTGCCCAATAGTCCATAGTTTTCAGTGAATATCTAGCTGACATCAGTTCGTGACGTAACTTGAAATCAATCTACTTATATAAGGATTCGTAGATAAGCTAACACACATTAAAGACCAATCGCATGCTTACTTCGAAACGTGTAAATCCTGCGCCCATTAAAGTTGCATTGGGTTTAAACTGAAGAGAATCCGCTGGAAGAAAATAAGAAATCTCGGCTGACTTGACAGCCGTACTATGATAAATATTTAAAAGTTGTTTTGAACATTCCATTTTTGAAGTATTTAGCATACGGATCCCAACTGTGAGATTTATGATATCCCTGAAAATAATGTGAGTAAAAAAAGAATGAAAAAGTAAAGTATTGAGACTCGTCAAACGAAAAGTGAATATCTGTGTCCATCGCATTTAACTTAAGGGTGAAAATCGATGAACAGTTTTATGTAGAATGTAAGAATTAAATAGCCAAGCTGCACAGAAGGTCGCTAGTGGAGAGGATAAAGGTAGTTACCAATAAATAAACTAATTTGCGATAAATATTCATAGAAACTGGGATGTGTGAAACCATATACTACTGATTGGCTGATATAAGTAGCTGTATACCACTCATATCAACTAGAAGTGCTTGCCAACAAGCCAGATCAAGGTGATTTAATACACCGGATGTCCTCTTTCCTTGTCCAAGGCTAGTCTACCCGGTTTGATGTGGCTTGGAATGCCAAATAAGTTCATATCACCCCATTTCAGGCTGGCTACGCTAACAAACTAGTAACACCATGAGTCAGATTCTCAAATAGCTAATTAGTTCTCATTTTGCATAGTTCGAGGTGATTACTTCACAACAGTTTCCCCTTGGACTGAAATTATTTAGATCATTTGTATACCACTTATATGTCCTTGACTCCAAAAGAATTAAATGGCTGTCCGGTGTTATATCACCTCAGTCTGGTTTGTTGGTAAGCACTACTGGTTGACATGAGTGGCATACAAATACTGATCTCAACCCATAAGTATTGTGTATTTTCGTGTGAATGCACTTGCTTTCATGATTACCATTTATAGTATCAAGAACATATCATAACATAATCCGAATAGTTTTGTCTGGAAAGGAATTACGGTGATATCTGGGCCCTCGAATTGTGAATATTTTACAAATGGCTAACTTATTAGCAAATTTCTATGTAGAAAAATAAAACGAATAAGCGATTGTTATGTTTACTAAACAAATAGGTACTTTCTTGGAAGATATGTGGATGGAACTAGTGTTATTATAAGAATTGACTGACACTATTGTATTAACTACCTTTTTAAAGTTTCTTATGCAATGAAGTTTACTTTTGACAATTATTTCTGAGAGACGTTCCACATATAATACAATAATAGTCAAGTATACTCACTGTCTAACAAATTACAGAGCATCAAAAGCGAGTGCTTTTTAGACAGATGCATTAACCAAGAAATTAATTGCTTTAGGTGTATTTCATAGTGAAGCGAATTAAATGTGCATTCGTAGGCCTCATAGTTAATCAGATAAAACTCAAAACCAACCAATGGAACTACATCTCTAAGCCGAGGATGTTATACATATATATACAAACATATACGTATTTATGCATCAATTCAATTGCTCCTTTGAATCGAGATATACAGGCTGTCCAATGTATTTTTATGTGTAATAGTCAAAGGATATTATCCTACTTGGCTTCAGAAAGGTCATGATGGATCTATAAGGACTACTCTGATTTCCCGTTAATGAATTTGAACAAAACAAGAACTACAGTTTCAGCAGAATAAAGGGTACCATCAGTGTTTATTTCGTTGCCTTCTCGTCAGCTGCTTACAGGGCAAAGATATTATTAGGTATATATACAAAAACAATTTTGACATACTTGCACAGAGTTCATTTTAAACAAAAATCAATCGGTCAATATACTCATACACTAAAAATATATACATATATAAATATGCAATATTAAACACTATTCCGAACAATAATAATCATACACAATGGAAACTTTAGCATTTCGCATTCGGATGAAAGAGAGATGAAAAATATCCAGTTACCAGGGCAAAGAAAGACTGATAACCGTTTCTTTCTGGACGCATAACTCAGGTTTCAGGCGCTTGATGGAAATGGCTTCAGCAAACTTGAGGAGAATTGAACTCTTTTGTCTATTGATAATTTTGAATGACTTTTCGACGTCCACCTCATGACCTGTGTCGAGGAGATGCCTAGCGATGGCACTGTTTAAGGCATTTGTTCCCTTTAGACGTAAGCGTTTTTGGTACGTGTTCAGAAAATCGTAGATATACCCTTCTTTCTGTCCTTCCAATGTAACTGCTCCATCAGATACGTGTAAATTTGTATATACAGTTGGAGTGAGCATGAGAAGGGTATCTATCGATTTTTGCTTGCACCAAAGAGCAAGTTGTTCGATAGACGGGAATGAGCTTAGCTGCAGGATAGGCTATGGCTAGTGATGTACTCAGCCTTCTTTTGATCATCGCTGCAATGTTTTCACTCTTATAATCAAGCTGAAAGTAGATTGGCTTTTTTCTCACTGTGATTTTTTTAAGTTTGTGACTTCAGATCTTCTATAATTGTTGATGAACCTTAGAGGGTACCCATCGCTCTTCAATATCTTTTCAAGGAACTCCAATTCTTCCTCTAATTTCTCTATAGAGCTTATTCTCCTCGCTCTTTAGTAGAGAGTCTTGACTAGACCACGTTTAAAGCTATTTGAACAAAAGCTATTAAAATGCAAGTGTTGTCCTTTCGATAAATTGATTGAAGACCATACGTATCAGTGATATACTGATAACATTTAGTCATGAAGTTATTCGAACAAAATAATATTTAGATAACAATACATCCATTAATTTTATTAACTTTATCGTTGGTATTAGATGGCTTGAGGTAATCTGCAGGAAGCCTTGTGACGCAGGTTCGTATTTCAGAAGGGATATAAGTTCCCTCAAGGTTGCAGATACGCCTTGCTAATCTGTGAGTGCCAACAAGCACAAAATCTAAGTCCAAGGCTTCCTTCTGAATGCCTCTAACCATCTAATACCATTAATTCACAGTGCACTGTGATGGCAAGGCAACTAGCCTGGTGGCCACATTGCAAACCTGACTGGTCGAATTCACTCTGCAGTAAAAAAAAGACTAGACACATTGCACTAGTTATTGACTAAGGTCAAATCAAAAATACACTAACTAAATATTAATACACTTACTTCGGAAGATATGTCATACCAGTCATACCCGAATCGGAATTTACGAAGTCCATTACTAAATTTAGCGTCTCTTTACCATCTCTAGAAACTATACCTCCAATTTGTGAAACAGCTTTAACGCTGCCGAATTGAGCAGAAATAGGAAGTTTGATCACTGATCCATTTGAGCTAAATTTGGTATCAGCCAAGCGTATTGACACATTAACACTGATGTCATTTTCCGGTAATGTAGATGAATCAGGTTGTATATTGAAGCCTAAAAGTTAAGTGAAATAATGATAAATCCCTCATTTCTACAGATTCAATAAATACGTGTTCAGTAGCGATATTTTCAACTATTAATAAGGGCTAAAAACCTCACCTGGTTATCTAGTTCTTCAAATAGGGAGGATTAGACGTAGGGCTTGCAATCCTACCCTCGAAAATAAATACAATGACTACAGAAACTTCAAAACACGACGAAAATTAAAAAAAAATGCAGAGTATCCTTGGCTGGAACAGGCGAGACGGAGTGAAGCAGACTGGTGAAAGCCTTCGAGGAACCAGTCAGTTTGTGCATGTGTCTTCGTTCAATGATATGATGGGGACCTGAAGTATCTGCAAAATGTCCAAAGCTGGGAATCCTGCTTATTGTTGACTGAGGATTCAGAGGAAATTGAACAGAATTGGCAGTAATCTGTGAGAGCAGGTGGAATGAATATGGAATCTCCAAAATGCTAACTGAAGAGCTAATGATTTTTACATCACATAACAAGCCACTGAATGGAACTCGGATAGGAGACGACAGCTTAGGTGTCCGAAAGTAAAATGATGAAATGGGGAAGTGCTGTTAAAGTTCTATGTTTAACTTGTAACCCAAGTGAATAATACCAATAACATAATACACAACGAAGATGCCTTCAAGCATAAGCTTGAGGACGATTTTAAAGCGCAACATTTTTTTCTATGAATAGTTCTCATCGTGTGATGATTTTGGTTTTATGCAAATTAGATTTGACATAGAATCAAATTAGTTTAGTTCGGTCAAGACCCATTTAATCAATGCAAGTACTTAGGTAAGTTTGTTTTATAACCGAAATACTGTTCTTCTTCGAATTTTGAAGGGAGACAAATCACTGAACACCAGAAGTTATTTTGCAGTTTGTGAGCAGAAGGTGTCCAAAAGCAACCTTTACTTCACTGAATACAATTCTATTTGTTACATAATAACTTTTAACACAATTCATTATTCACACTCTTAATGGCAAACAAATTTTCCCCGATAATATTTTCATAGTTTCATGAATTAATTTACACTTTTCTTGGCATTAGAAGTTATGAGAGCTCTTTATCACCTCACAAGTTCTTCAGTTGGTCGTTCCAAGATGGTTTCCTGTAGATAGATCCTTTCAGAATTCTATCATTTAATCTTGCTAATTTTATTCATCGAGAACTGAAATATTTGAATCATTCTATAATTCCTTGGTGAATTTAATTGAAAGATGACTATCCTAAGCAATGTGAGGTAAAAACTCCAGTATATGACCACTGTGACGTGTATATATCAGTTCACCCCTCCTACTGAGCTAGGTTCATAGGTTGTTGTATGAACGTGTTGCAGAACATTACACAGACGTTAATGGCAAACAGGCGTCATTGGTTCAACCTGAGCACCTCGTCAACACATGCCATAGCATCTCCGATGAGTCATTATTCAGAATCTTACACAGAGAAAACGAAAGGTGTTTTTTCTACTTCCTCAAACAGCAGTGGATGTAGCGAAATATACAAACAGAAAGCGTAAGAGAAACATTAGAAGCATAAATTCTATGAAAAACTTTAGAACTTTTGAAGTGAAAGTATTCAAATAACTGAGATCTGTCTTTTTATACTGCTATTTATATCAACCATCATTTGGTGGCCTAATTTTTAATGCTTATATCAAGTCAGTTGGTGCATCTATATAGTCAAGGACTTCGTAAGTGGGTTATACAGAGCATTTCCAAAAGGTTTCATTGATACATCGACACCTGAGTTCGCGTGATACTGAATTACAGAGGGCTGTGTAGAAAGGATAGATACCAGAAATTTTTATAGGAAACCAGCCTAGAACTCATCTAATAAATATGTCGAATACTAGGTAGCGATCATGCAGACCAATAGGTCACTGGGACCCAATCCAATGGCCAATGAATTTTAATTTCTGCCAATTCACGATGTAGTGTTACCACTAGCCAGTGTCATCGCTGGTGAGTGCCTATCCTCACGCCCAATCTACCGTGCCCCACTGGTAGCCCATGTAACTAACTATCTCAATAGGGCAGTCGTTAGTGGGCGTCAGGCCCTAGAAATGACTGTCCCTATTGAGACAGTTAGTTACCTGGATGACAAGTGGGCCACAGCAGATCGGGCGTGAGGACAAACACTCGCCAGCGATGACATTGGCTAGTGATCACGCCACATAATAAGTTGGCGGGAGTTGAAATTCATGGGCTACTGGATTGAGTCTTAGTGGCTTGCTTGCTTAAGAGCTCGCTAGCCTTGTAACCGAAAAGTGCTGAGTTTGAACCCTGACGGTGGGTGGGTGCGTTTGAAGAGTTCCAAACTAGGATGAAACAGCTCTCCAGTACTCTCAGGGTTTCTAATGGTTCTCTAGCCGATGTCAGCTCATGATGAGATCCTGAAACCAGTCACATCCTTGCAAACTAACACTTGAATATTCAGAATTTCTTACTCATCGTCCTATTAGAGACTGAATCCATGAATTCTAATATCTGCAAATGCATGTTGTCTTCAGTCATTGCGGGTATTTTTCCACATATCTAACTAGGCCTACTCCTCTGGTCACGACATCTCACTTGAACATCGGGCAACTTCATCGTATAGTCAATCACCAGGGAGCACCAGAATAGTCTTAAGTATTCGATTTCAGAGAATTGAAAATTGATCACTAACTGGTTTCATTTAGAGAAGTTGTAGTGGAAGTTGGATTACTGACCGACTAGCAGTACACCTGGGATTTTATTATAGTGGTAAAGTATTATGAATTAAAATTGTGATCCTACTAATTAAATCAGCTTGTGTTGAATACCTTACCGCTAATATCAGGAATTAAACAAGTCATATAACTAGAATTCATCTGTACGCAACTTATGAAGGAAATTAAATTCAGTCGAAGCAGATTTAATTACATTCATTTTGCCTACTCTGTGCTTTCCACTCCTCAATACATTTTATTCATTCCTTGTTTTCTTAAAAAACTGTAGTTACATTTCAGTTTTCTCACCTGCTAGCTCCTGTACGAACGCTTCAAGGATGCCTAAAGATTAACGTGAAGTAATTTATGATTGATGGTGATTAGCACTGGAGTCATTTTTGGCCCTATCTGGGATTCATCAACTGAACAGGAATACTATCCTTTACTGTGAATACAGGGGTACTTCAAGCTGATAAGTCCCAAATAGATTGAAATATGCATTCTGGATTCACCTACTAATCATCGTCACCTTTCAAAGCATTATTCTAAGCTACTGAATTATTAACTTAAAGGTATTTCTTACCTGGGTTAATAACATTTCCCAATATCACTTCTAATTTATCTTGCTGTCCATATTTGTATGTTGATGTGTATACATATTTAGATTGAACATTACGTAATGCTGCCAAATTAGATCCAAATGTCAAGTACACATCGTTTACAGTAAATGCTGATTCCATTTCAACACTGTCATTAGCACCACCGATGATAATAGATGAATTGGGCAAATATGAAGCAATAGGGACTTGAAGATTGAATGTAATCCTTCGCCAGACACCTGGTTGAAATAAACTTCCGGCAGTAATATTTTTAATCGTAAGTATCTGAAACAAAGTATATATATGTTTTACTGTTTTAGTCAAAAGATTTTGCGGAAGATATGTTGAGTATATTTGAATTCATTTATATTGTGGAGAATCTGCTTGTGAACCTAAAAAGCTTATGTGTAATTAAAATGCGTCAGTATCGTTTCAGCAGCTTCTGTTTTCATAAATGTATATAGGTGGTTCTATGTGTTTCTTTTCAAAAGATGTTACAGAACAAAATCTAGGGTGGCTGAAAAGAGGCGGCAGTGGTTCGGACAGAAGCGCTATAATTGAACGTCTTGTCAGCATGTGCCATTATATGTCAACTGACTTATTATTCAGCGTCATTAACAAAGCAAACAGCAATCTACCAGAGACAGTGTATTCCTAACTTCTTCGAACTGCAGAATCGCTCGCTTTATGCATTTGGAAGTCAGAGCTGTGTGTTCCAGTTGGGCTAGTTCATGTTTTGTATTTACTATGAATCTAGTATTCAAGTACTGGTTTGTAGGGATTTGGTTGATTGGTCAGGGGATTTCATCATGAGCTGAGATTGGGTGGGTGCGTACTGCTGAAGAGTCCCAAACTAGGACGAAACAGCTGTCCAGTACTCTCAGGTTTTCCAATGGTTCTCTAACCAATGTCAGCTCATGATGAAATCCTGTAACCTATGAATCTAGTGTTGTTCATTATTATTCCTTTGGGTTCCAAGTGGAACATAGGACCTCAGTAGCTCATCTCCATTTCATCGTGTTCTCTTAAGGCCTCCTCAGCTAGCCTCATGATTGCTCACTAACTGTAATCTACTCATAAAGTCTGCTCCATATCACTCTTGGATTCACGCACAACTCATCGTTTCGGGTGGATGGCCTGGATCGCTCACCGCCAGATGTCAACCAGCGGTCTCTTCAGTTTGTCCCTGATCCGCATTTATTTCCTTCCACATATTTGCTGACGAAGAGGTTCTGAGTTGGTTCGTTTTCAGGGTTTCCTACTGTTGATTCTTTCTGGCTGGCCATCTGATCATCAGTATTGAGCCAGAGAAGTTAGCTAATGATGAATATCTGCAGTGGCCTGTGGTAAATGATTTTCCTGAGAGATCAAGTATCTGAACCATTTAGAAGAAGTGATTGGCCTAAAAATACTATTCCTCATGCTGAGTGGAGTAGATTTAGACACACATTTTTGGCTGATGAGTGTTCGCCTCGTCTTGCCAATCCTGGTTTTATCATTTTCATCCGTTCTGTCGTCAGTAGTTGAAACGAAGCTTCACAGCTAGATAGCTGTAGGAAGTGACGGCGTACAAATATCTCCAACTGATTGTGACTGATGCTTGTTGTTATTGTTGGTGCAGATATTGTTGGTTTTCCTCATCACCTCCCTCTTCTATATGTTCACTCGGAGTCTTGTCTTTTCTGCTCTCCTATCGCCTTGTTAGTTTTCACCTGTAGGTAATTGAACTTATGTGACGTTAGAAACAAATGATAAGCGAAGATCTTCTAGAATGTTGTGATTAGTGCGACATATTCCTGTCTACTGCATATTCCGGTTCACCACAGTTAGGAATTTCAAGGGTGATAGTAGGCAGCTTCGTCTCACTCTTGTTTCCACTTCAAAGGCTTCAGTAGGTTTTCGTCGTGAATCGGCTGACATGAGACACTGTCATTTGAACACTCTGTTCAATAGTGCTATACTGTTTTCATAATAATTTCGCTGTCAGTGATGTCAAAGGCTTTTCCAAAGTTGATGAAGTTGAGGCAAATATTTGACTGCCATTCTATACTGTGCTCAACTATGGTTCGACGTTTTGCTTTTCCTGAATTCAGATAGTTCCTAGGGGGAGGAAGTTGTATCCACAGTATCTTTCCGTCAATTCAGCGTGACCCAGCACAGCAATTTGCTGGATGCAGACAGGGAGATTATTCCGTGTCAGCTTTTGCTAGGGCGTCATTCGCACTTGTTTGCTAGATTGACAAGTTAGTCTTTCTTCTATTCAGTGTGCACCTTTTCTTCCTTCCAACGTTTTACAATAAGGTCTTTGGCATTTCTGTTGCGGTATCCAGATTCGACTTCACTGTTTCAGAAGGTCTTCAATTTATTCCTGTTTTCCCTCGCTTTCGGTAACTTGACTGCATTCAATCCTTCTGCCTTTGTTGGAAAATTGCTGTCCACTGGCAAGCAGTTCTGTGCGTGCTGTTGGTGGTATTTCTGGGTGAGTTTCAGGTGATGTTCAATCTAAGAGTTCTTCAAAGTGATCTGCTCATTGTTTTACTTGTTTCTTATCCTTGATAACCTGGTTTCCTTGAGCATCATCTGGTTTCATATCTTATCTGAAAGAGACTTGGTTATCTGATATAAGGCTCTCAAGTCTCTTTTACCTGTGGCCTGCTTGTTCAGCTTCATTTGCTAGCCAATGTGTCGTAGAATTGTCCTGTCTTTCATAGCACTATTCTTCACTTCTTTATTCAGTGCAGTGTAAACTGAACTCAGCTTCTCCTTCTCTTGTTCATCTTTGAATTGAGTTATCTTCTCTTTCACCAGGTTCCTTGAACTAGATGATGGTCCGAGCCCATATGTGCTCCCCTTCTTGACTTTGTGTCCTTCAGGCTAGCTGCGTCTTCACATTCTTGTCCACTACTGAGATGAAATCTGTCTGGTTTTTACTATGTTTGTCATGTGAAATCTGTTTCTTTTTGTCTACCCTTCTGCTTTTACACGCTGCCTCCAATGACCAAATCACTGATGGCGTAAAGGTTCGCAAATAATTCTCCGTTCTCACTCATTTCCCGAGCAACAGCTTCTCCACCCATGATAAGTTTTTCTCGTATATCACTTGCTGCCAGTATGGCATTCATATCGTCCACAAGGATTACAATGTCTCCATTCAGGGTGTTGTGCATTACTGTTTGCAGTTGTCTGCATAAATTTCTTTCTTCTTTTGTTCCATGTTGTTTGTAATATGATGCATAGCATTTGATAAATGTAGCACTCCTTCCCTTTGCGTTGAATGTTGCTACCATAATCCTGTAGAAGATTGGTTTCCACAATATCAGGACTTTAGCTGTTGTTGGCGACATCATGATAGCCACTCCCTCAACGTGCTTCAGATTGTTGTTTGAGTCAATTATTGATAATGTTTATACTCCTCATCCACTCCACATGCTTTCGCAGATTACTACGCTTCTACGTCATATCCCCTCGTGTTTTGGAAACCTGAGCAGCCCTTGCAGCTCCACACACTGTACGAACATTCACATCTTCATCCTCATCGAATGAAAACACGTCGATTCGCTGAAGACTTTCAACAGATTGCATTATTCATTCTCTCCGATTCCGGAAATGAATAAGTTTGTTTTAATATTTTTGTGTACTTTGAGGCTTCCATAGCCACTTGATTGACTTTGAGTAGTAGGGTGGCAAACCTAATGCCAAACCTCACCTCTTATCCTTGGTTTGGTACTGTCTAGAAAACTAGTGAACTAGTAGGCTTGGCGAAGTTATCTAGTGTTGTCTGGTTCCTTTTTAGCTTGATCTTCTTCTCTCGTTCTGTAGTTCATTATCTTAAGTTATATCGAAGTGCTTCTGAGGACATACTGATGACGTCTATTCTCGACAGAATTTATTTTACATCTTTCACAAGTATTTCCGAATACTGGTTAATGGTATTTTGCTAGGCTGTTCAAATATTGCTTACCTCGCTGCAACCGTATTTGGAATAATCCCTATGATCCATTATGTAGATTCCGTGAAATACTGTTTATTCATAATTCTATCTTCTGAGAGACTTCGTAATATTGCATTTTACTTCATACCATATTATCGTAATCTTGATTTCCGTACCCCTTTGTGATTTATATTTATAGATCACAACTGATAACTTTCAAATCAAGTTCAGAATTATTACAATGGTCTGTTTTGAATCTCAGCTTTAGTACTCTGCCAAAATGAACAATAACAATGGTGACTATGTTAACCTGTGCATATAAGTTAAAATGGCACAGTTGAACTTCTTGTTTTCTTTCGAGTTACCTAATGAGTATTTTTCGAGATTTGCAAATTAAAATCGCGGATGGATAAATTCATTCCTCTCAACTGACTCAACTGATGAAGTTGACAGATCTTCGGTTTGTGTATAGAGGTTTCAAACTGCGCTTGCATATCTATGTCATTAATTCTAACAGAATTCTCACAGAATTTAAGTTCAAGACAATAATACTTGCAGTCTGTCTCATCAAAAAAACCAATATCCTAAAAACTTAGAAATATTCTGACCATGGAATGAAGGGGATTCTGCCTTTAAGAACTTTAGGCAATGGATGCCTAATAATGAATATTTCTATGCTGAACTCATCTTAGCAATAATTTAGTTAGGCCTGTTGAATGAGTTTCTGCAGCAACGCAAAAACGCAACCTGGATTACAGTTGTGGAATATACTCCTATACCAATGAAAAAGTATTAATATATAATGCAACTTCACGATTGTAACTTATAACATAACTGATCGTATCTGTAAAAATAGCTTTCATTTCTTGAAACACCCGTTTACAAGAAAATATATGCTATCATTATTATTATTCTACATTAGGTACAATTCACTCGTGATGTTACGATGAGAATGCTGACAAAATTATGCAAGTGTATCACTTATTTTAATTATTACCGAATTTGGACATAAATCAAGAATAAGATTCGGTTTTGTAGACACCTAAGTTATATTGGGTTATTACTTCAAGCTTTATTTTTTCCCAAGTATTTGTAATCCATCCAAAACATACTTGGGTTTTTTTTGTTAATGCGAAGACAATATTTCTATATTTCTTGATGTCCTCCATTGAAAGACTAGATATCATATTGTTCCCACAAATCAAAGACAAAAACGTCAGCAACCATGTAATTTAACCATAAACCAAATTTATATAATTTAAATAATACTTATCCATGCCTGTACATTTGGTGTGTTCTACACAGGTAGGAAAATATGTATTTTATTAAATTATTATTATTAAGTATGCTTGCT